GCCCGCCGTGGCAGGCGAGCATTCTACCACTGAACCACCGATGCACATGGCAGAGGATTCTAGTTTCATGTTCTTTAGTTATATATCGAATTCTCTTTCTAAAATCTCTCCCAATCTTAATTTATAATTTGCGTTAAATTTTTTTAAAAAGATAAAATTCCATTTTCATTTATAATCTTGAATCTTTTATTTTTAAAATCTTTATTTCACAATTGTCTTACTAAAGTAAATAATGGAAATAATTTCAAACAAAGAATTTTTATTAAATAAATCACACACATCAATATTTGTTTTTAAATAATTAATCTTCATTAAAATTAATGATTCAAGTCCCAATATTGCTCGCCATATTCTCCATTTTTGTTACCCCATTTCACCTAAAATGCAATAAATAAATTATATTCAAATAACGCAAGAAGATAGCCAAGACTACTTTGAATGATAAAAGAATGTTATAAGATTTGTATAAAAAATATGTATAATCACCTTGCCGCTATAACGATTGTTGTCAAAATCTTTTCGTTCGAATCTTTGTTCCCATTCACTAGGATTCTCACAAACGTGACCAAATTCAATTTTAAGAGGAGCCAAATGTTCCGAAAATATATCTCTGCGTTATATATATCAATATAAATGTTATCAAAATATATCTATATAATCATTTTATCTTACATAAATATTAAATTTGCTTTAGATCTATAGTTTGACCATAATCATATAAAAAAATTAAAAATTTTATTTATAATATTATGCTTAGGATAAAATAAAAAGTATGAATTAAAAAGTTAGGTTTACTCACTGAAAGTATTGTCCCATTGATAAAACATCTTCTTTTTCTTGTTTTGACATTTCTTTTTTATTTACAACTTGTGGATCTAATTACAATTGAAATATTAATATGTAGAACATGGAAAACAAGTTATACAATTAAACCACACGATTTACACATAATACTTGCGATACTTGCCTGTTAAAGCCATTTCTGAAAGTTTATCCAATAAATTGGCCGTAATAGTATTTGTGACAAGTAATATCATTACAACGTGTATCAAACACAAATTAAAATTATATTTAGTCTGCATTATTATATTTAATAGTTTAATTAAATGTTTATAATGATGAGATGAATAAGCAGTCTTGTTCGTTAATGTCTCGCTGAACGAATGCGAGAGTACTGAACGCAGTACCGAACAGGTGAAATTGTCTTTATACTTTACGAGTTTTTTTCGAATAATACGCTCTATTTAGTAGAATAGTGAAAGTATATTAGCGTAATACATCATCAATGTAAAATGTGTTTTGATGAAAACGTCCAAGTTCTCAATATTTAAATAATATGCATTATAATAAATGACAATTATAAAATTATTTTAAACATTATAATTTTTTATTTTGCATATTATTTATTTCTCTATATAAATTTCAATTAATCAAGCAAATATTTAATACAGATCTAACACTTTCAATTATTTATCATATGACAGCAGATTACTATTTTTTGCACACTTTATCATAGATTGAATTAGCTTAACAAATCCAGTATCCTTTGGTTTCTCTAAGCCACGAAGCACGCGGTTCTTCATTACGGCGACAAATTCCCGATTGCTCAATTGTCCGTCCACTATAAAATAAAAAAGATGCTAAATAATTTAATCATTTAAAATATATTTCTTATTTAACATATATTTCTTATATTTAATGTGCATTTCAGATAGATTATTGTTATCGTGCTATAACTTCTAAAGAAGTTATAGGAAAAATGTTAAAGTGTTTTTAACAGTCTATTAACGTAAAATAATATTTCTAGTGATATAAACAAACTTACTATTCTCATCGAAAATTGTATATACCACTTGAATAATATGATCACTTAGATCAACGTGTGCTACAGTTTTTGCTACGTGTTTCAACGTCGCTGCAATATAATATAGAGAACTATGTATAAATAAATAATACATCGATAAAACTGCAATGTCTATGAGACTTTTTATTGATGATTATTTTTTACATTTAATATATTATTAATATTTGAAATGATTCTATTATTTGAGTACAAAAATAAAATATTTGTAATGATTAATTTAATGAATGATAATAATTATTTATAATAAATTATGATAATAATATACCTTGATCGATAGATGCGCCAGCTATATGATAAAACGTCAAGGCTGTATCAACGTCATTAATGTTGTTTAAAAAGTGAAAAAATTTGAGATATTCCTCTTTGCTGATTCCTTTCGGATCTTCTTTGAAACTGCGAATTGATATTTAATTATATAATAATTTCTGAAATCTGTCATTTTCGATAAAAAGATTAAATACTTTTATACTCACGCTTTCTTCACTCTCTTCAACATTTTTGCCTTCTTTTTCGCTGGATATCCTGCGTAAGCCAAGAGTAATTCTGTAAAATCTACCTCGGTAATATTACCGTATTCATCCGGATTTCGTCGTTCAAACTAAGCAAAAATGTACAAAAGCGTATGTATAATGTCGAATTAATGACTGAACATTACATTATCAAATCTGAATCTAATTGATTACTATACTTCAAGACTTAGAATCTCTCGTTGTAACTGCTGTTGAAAGTCCAAGAATTTTTCGATTGTTAATTTCTGATTCATTTGTGGACCAAAAAAGTATGTTGTTAACGCAGAATTCACTCCCTAAAATTGCAATAAAAAAATGTTGGTTATTCAAATCCGATTTTCTAGGCATATAATTTAGATTAATAAGTATTAAACATATTGTTTACAATTATGATAAATATTCATTATAATTAAAACCTTAAATGTATTTCCTGTAGTCGCGTGATCACGATGTCGAGTGCCTATACTAGTTTGCTGTCGTATTAACGTCGCTACTTTTCCAAATTCTTCGGAATCAACATCGCCATCTCCGTTAAAATCAAACATTCTAAAGGCAATTTCAAAATGACGTCTAGAGGCTGAAAATAGATAATTGAAACAAGTAATTAAAATTTGATACGTTTGAACGAATGCATATTAACAAATTTCAAATAAATTTCTTATTGTATTTTTCTGTTTGTAATTAAGAATTAATGACATGTTACTTGACAACTTACTTGATAATACGGTCAATAAAAAGATGTAATCAGAGAAAGTAATGAGACCTGCACTGCCTAGTTTGTAGAAGATGCTATCTTCGTCCAATTCTAATTCTAACTTAGTATGGATATTCTAAATAGAAAAGAAAGCAGTTACGAAAACATTTTATTTAGTATTTTTATTAAATTAATATATACCTTTGGATCATAGCGCTTGTATTGGTCCAATCCAAGACCTGAAAATGATGTAATTATTACTATCATATGATCATTTTTTTAGAGTTTACAGGATTGAAGGAATAAAGAGCCAATTCGATTCAGAAGAAAATTCAGAAAATTCGATTCAGAAGAAATTAGAACTTGGGAAATGTTAGTTGATCTGCACATGCAGAGAAGCTGTCGCAAAGCATGCAGTCATCTCAAAATTAATTTCGAATATTGTGACGCGTGATATCCAATTTAACAAAATGAGAAAAGGTGCGAATACAAAATTACCATCGGGCTGTTTCACACCGGGTGTCATCGATCTTAAAAAGTCATCCGGTGTCATGAATACTTCATGCACATCGTTGCTTGTGACCTGGAGGGTCGCAAAGTAACGAAACACTTTGTCCGGTGTTGAATAATGTCTCATACGATTTTCATATTCTATTATCTGCGCACACGTATAATTAATCGATAATCACGAGTTTTAAATACATACAAAATTATTTTTAAACTTTTAACATTAAACTTATAACATCATTGTCATTCATGATGTTATTCATGTCTATTATCGCGACAATTAAGTATTTTACTTTATTTATTTTAAATAAGAATTTAATAATGCAAATATTTTAGTTAGAGCAGAGCGAAGCAGAGTAGTTATTAGTAGGATTAGTAGTTATTAATAGTTATAGGTGAAAATACAAGATATCATTGATTATATTTTGTGATCAAAATAATAAAAATTTTGAAAACCCTACCATCTGGCTGTTGCATGCCAGGCGTAATAGCTCGAAGAAAATCATCAGGTGTCATATAGACTTCGATACCTTCTAAACTAGTTACTTTCACAGTCGCAAAGTAACGAAAAATTTTGTCTGGTGTCGAATACGCTCTAATTCTATTCTCGTACTCTATTATCTGCAAAAATACTTCAGCCTGCATCGTTCTGCTGTACAGATACATGCTGACGCAAACAAAGCATCAAATTGTAAAATCTGATACTAATCGTAAAATTTAACGGTGCAAAGGAAAATACTTTCATTATACAATTAACTTTTTTCTATGTATTCATCCATAAAAAGTTATAAAAATAAGCATATTTACTGTATTCCATTTCTCAACAGCAAAAAACATTATTTTTGTAATATAAATAATATAATAATATACTGTGTAATATATAAAAATTTGTGATAATCATGAAAAAATTAAACATGTATATGTTGGCATAGTGCAACTCTTTGTTAAACCTTTCTATCACGAAATCCAATTTTTTGCTTCTTGTTCTTCTTTTTCTTTTGTAAATCATGTTCTATATTTTTTACAGCTTCATCATTCTGAGTCTCTTCCGCTAAGATGCTGGCAGCATCTACCTTAGGTACTAACAATTTAAATATACTGTAAAATAGAATAGATATAATACTGATATACTAAACAAAATTTAATATTTATATTATTTAGCTATAATTAATGTTATCATCTCACCGTTCCCAGTTAAAGAAGCTCATAGCTATACCAGTGATACAGATTATAAAGGGAAGATCACGACGAAACCGATATTTTCCTCTGGTGTGACCGAAATTTCTATAATTACGTGTTTGCTTGTATTCATACATGCTTTTTTTGAAATTTCCTTGTAATTCAACAAAACAGAAGGTATTGGTTGTCAAAAGTTTGTGCTGCAGACACTGTCGGAATGCGCTTATGCCTCTGCTAAACAACATCGTTGAAAACTAAAAAAAAATTGATACTTTTAATTATCAATTGGCTTGACAAATTACGGAACAAGCAGATAAATCAAAGATTGCAG